GGCATAACTCTTTCCGGCACTCTGATTCGGTCCCTTAGTATTGGCAGTCTTTTTAAAGGTAGAAAAATTTTCTTCTTCGTTATTTGCCTCGGACTCATGGGCTGAAGAACAAGCTGTACCGGAGTCCTGTTCTTGGTCGTCACCAAGAGTGGGGTCAACCGCATCGGCTTCTCCTTCGGCCTCCAGCAGGTCATGCACAACAAAACGGTTGCTGCCCTTGAACCGTCTGCCGCCCATGGGCTTTTTGCTGCCTGTCGTGCTAACGAGGTCCATGGCCTCCAGACTGACTACATCCTTCATTAAGGCAAGCCAGTCAGTATAAGCAATGTAGTCCCTGCCCAGGCGACTAGTGAAGTTAGTTGGAACCGCGCTCTTGACCACATCTAAGCAAGATTGAGTGGACAATTCCAAACCAGGAGTGGCAAACAACTTGCTTAGATAGGTTTGCAGGCTTTTCATGGAGCCATTCCACTTGTTGTGCTTTACTTTATCCAGTTGAATCCTTGCTTTAGCAGCAACATGTGGATCTTGGTATTCTGAGATAAGGAGTTCTTCGAGGGAGGCAACCGGGGTGGACCTTAGCCATTTGGCTAGTGCAGACTTTTGAAACCCAGCCCGCGTTGCTTGGACTTCTAGGAAGCCTCGTACGACTGGCTCGACATTCATACCCATGATAACTGTCTGGGTCTCAACTTGAGTCCCCAGGATCTCGAAGTAGGCCCTCATGGAGCCGATCCAGGACTCGATGTCTTCCTTGCCATCGTACTTGGACGGTATTTGAACCGCCTTCCGGTCCACATAGGGACTGGCATGGCTGGGACAAGCAGCAGCTGGTTCCGGTCTTGGGGCTGCAGCAATTGCAGAAGTTCCAGCCTCATTGCTTGTTACAGCAACAGTGGAATCTGCACCTGCTGCAGGTCCTGAAGGAGTTGCCATCACACTCGAAGAAGATGTAGAAGAAGACACAGTAAGAGGCGCAGAGGTAGTTTCGAACGCAGCTTCAGTTCCAGGAGGTAGAGGAAGAGGGTTGGCCACTTGGGCTTGTCGCAGATCCGCCACCTCCTTTGTCAGTTCATGGTACTTGAGGGTCATCTCAGCCAGATCATCCTGAAGTGTCTGCAGTTTTGCACAGACTGCAGCGATCTGAGTGGTATGGTCCTCAAGATTCCTGATTTGAACAAAGGCTGTGAGGATGGACTGCAACTGTTCCCCGCACTGCTCTTCAGTCAGTGAGGGAACAGTCTCTAGGAGGGCTACTTGCCTTCTCAGCAAGGCCTCCTTCCTCTCCTTCTCTAACTCCTGTTCCCGTTTTATAGCACCATCCAAGAGTGCTTGCAGATGTGGCTTATCAGCATCACCGGCTGCATCTAACAAGGCCCGCCATTGTGTCGAATTTAGCTGGGCCATCTTTGGACTGTCAGCGTGGGCAGGTGGATCAGAGAGTTGCCAGACAGCAAAAGAATCAATCAGACTCTCAAGAGGTTCACTCCCCCCTGCGCTTATACGAACACTCCTTTTCCCAGTCCTTGCCCACCTCAGACTATCACTTTCCCTCTCTCCCTGTTCTCTCTCCCTCCTCTCTCTTTCTTCTTTCTGATTGCGAGTCTCCACGGGCATCGGAAATGAACTCAGAAAAACAGATAAAGCTCAGAGAAAAGAAGGTAGAACTCCTAGCCGGAGCGGCATTTCATTTGGAAGCAGAGAACAGCAAAAAAAAAAAAAAACAATCAAACTCAAAGAGAGGTCTGATCCAGCGACCCAGTCTGATCAGGCTGCATACGAGGTCCTCTCAAGTCCAGCCTGACCAGCCCCGTGTCCGTACAGCAAATCAGACAACAAGTGACCAGATGCAACAATGGAGAATTGAGTGGTGCACAGGGTGCGAGTCAAGCCATGGACTGTGCAATCAGAAGACATGCGAAACGTCAAAGCCAAGATCCCCTCGGCAGTGGGTGTCCTAATCCAAGAAGAATGAACTCATATCCCAGCCAAGAAGACAAGAGGTCAATGCCTAACTGATTTGGGTCCAGAGGCTCTCCTTGTTTGGGCCCGATCCCGCTGGTCCCAAGGGTCCCACTTGGTCCCAAGAGTACCACGTAGGTCTCAACCAGGTCCCAACCAAGAGGAGTCCCACCTGAACTTAATTCAGTCTCAATTGTATTGAAAAACGAAATTTCAACTTCTGGCAGCACCTACAGACTACAACCGTTCAGTGATGAAAAGATAAAGCATTGTAGAAAGACTCGGCATGTATAACAAGATACTTCATTTTCCATCCATCAGGTGAGTAGGTAGATCACATGCATTCAGTCACACAATCAAGACCACAGAGGAGTAGGAAAAGAAACCCAGAGTACCCCAACAGGTCAATCAATACCACACACATATACATGGGCATCCCGTAGGTGCACGGCACTTACCTTAGTGGCCTTGAGCTTCGAGATGAAGATAACTCACCCCCCTTCTCATATGGTCCTCCTGACCCATCTAACACTACCCCTACACTAGTGTCCTATCTCCTAGGAGGGTGTGACTCCAACACCCGAGTGCAACGCCGGATCCCCCGTCGATGCTGAAGAACAAAGTAGCAACTTGCAGTCCGTTGATGCAGAATGGCCGCTGACCCTCAAGCTCGCCTACTTGAGGGCAGCCCTAAAGTTGCCAAGTGTCTCCCTTGAACCAGATTCCAGGTGCGAGTGCCTCTCACTGTCGCCTCTCTCAAATCGTCGCATGAAGTCTCCTTGAAATGTCTCGCCACGCTAATCTCACTCTCAAGCAACCTGGTTAGGGTCTGTGTTGACCCCACATGACCTAACCAGGTGGGGGCAGCTTCCCTTATCCACGCTGCCCCACTTCCCTCAACCATCCAACCCTAACCCTAAGTGTTGC